AATAAAAAAGTCAGAACTGCAAAAAAACTATTTGTATGCCAGAACTAAAATTTTAATTTTTATTTAAAAAATTAAAATTTTGATTTTCTAATTATGATTAGTAAAGCATGGATTATAAAATTTGAAACATTTTTTATGCATAAAGGGAAACATTCAGAGTAAAAAATATAAAAATAATTTATTTGATATTTTATCGTTTATGATATAAGTGTTACCTTTTTTGAATTTTTATCCGATTTAGATATCAAAAATTTGACATTGACAAATAATCTGTATCTGAAAAAAATTCCCAAAAAAGTATTGCTTAAATTAAAGATTAAAACAAAATAAACCAAGTTCAAATCAGAAATGAAATTCCAAATAGCCTCCTTACTGCGAAAGAAATGCTTTATTGTAAATCTTTATGAGTCAATATTAGTAAAAAACCTTCACAATCAATAAGCAACATTAATCTAAACAAAAGCGGAGGCTCTTTGATGCATAGCGGAAGCTCTTACTGAATGGCGGAGGCTTGGTCTGCCTAGCAAATATTGAAGGCTCATGTCTAAATGGTGGAGGCTCATAGTGTCTAGGGGTTTCCCCCCTTCCCCAGCAAACAATAACTCTACTTAAATTCGACTTTTGCCTTCCAGAAGTGGAGTTTTAATCGAGTTTCAAAGTGGAGTTTTCTCCTGTAAAAGTCATGCCATATCTGGGTTAGAACTCGAGTTTTCACCAAGTTGAGGGGTTGTACCCCACAGTACCCCAAAGTACCCCAAAGTACCCAACAGTACCCAACAGTACCCTGCAGATATGGGGATTACAAATTGGCGTTGTTGCCATCCCTCCCTCCATTAAGTGGTCAGCTGATTAGTATTAAACTAACTTTTTTGTCCATGAAAATAGTGCAAAACTATAAAGAAAACATCCTTAGAAGTGCTTACTTATATTTTTTTATTAAAATAAAAAAATCTGTTTGGTTTCTGTACCCCCTCCCCCCAGTAAAGCCCAGTACTTTGCAGTACATTGTAGTACCCTGTACCCTAAAGCACTCTGTATTCCCTGTTACAATCACTTTCCATTAAAAGATTTTCGAATTACAATTTGGTGTTTTTGCCATTCCTCCCTCCAATTAATCATCAGCTATTTAGTTTTAAACCATCAACATAATGTCTTTTATACTGTTTTACACAAAGGAAAATAATGCAAAACTAGAGTAAAGTGCAACCCAGAAAAGCTTCTTTAAGTTCTAAATATTTTTGTTCAAAATGAAAATTCTGCTTGGTTTGGCAACTTTTTTTTGCAGAATCTTTCCTACTTTCTTAAAGGTTTTACATCGGTATGTTTAAGGATATCTACTCGATATAAAGCAATATTTATTAATACTTATTTTGACTCAAACTCTTAACTAAATGAATATAGAAAAAATATGCCGGTTTAAGAAAGTTTTAGATAGATATTTGCAATCATCCAGAATAAAAAGTTTTATCAAAAATTAAACTTTAAAAGTTTTATAGAAGTTGTTAAAAAAATGCAAAAAAAAATCATTTCTGACACCCCTAGGCTTTGTACGCCAATATAATTCATCAAAACCATACTGCAGTCCTCCCGTTATCATACAGGGAAATTTTCATCTTTCTAAACATCCCAACGAAAGATTTGACAGGTTCTTTTAATAGTTTTTGTTAAAAAACATTTCTTTAAAAAAATAGATTTCAATTACATTAAAATAATGCTTGCATAAATATTTTGAGAATTCTTTAAATTTACTAATCCCATCCTATTTAATATAAATATGCAATATCAAAGTGCTGTGCATCCCGTGAAAATCGGCACGAATCGCCCTAAATCCTAGTAAATTCATATTGGTGTAATATGTTCTTCAGAGTATCTTGGATAGACTCTTATCTGAACTGAACAGGGCATTTATTCTTAGAAATGGGGGTAATAAATTAAATTGAATTCTACTAATTTCATCCTAAATTCTATAGAACTATTGAAGATAGAAAGAATTAAAAGGAAAAGAGAAATGAATTGTTGTTAAATTATATTAAATAATTAGATGGGAAAGCTGTAAACAGAATATGATGATAATTGAATTTATTAATCCTGAAGAGAACCCTTTGAAAAGAGTGGCCGTGTTATGGTTAAATAAATCATCAGTTGAACTACGTGAGTTACATGGTAAACCACTTCTCTTGAACTTAAATCGGTGCTCAAGAGAAATGGTTTAACGTAGTCTAAATAGTTTAACTTTAGTAATTTTGTACATTGGCGGTACGGTCCAAACTAGGTCCGCAGGTTGGCCCAACTCGGATATTCAAATGTACACCGTTTGTGCGTGTTCTTGCTATTCATTAAGTTTGGTCTCTGATCTCTAACAAATCTTTTTCTAAATCTTTATAATTAAAAACTTTTTTTAATTTTTACCACTTTACATCGCAAACCATCATATATTCAGTTATATTCTTATTTTAATAAGAATGTTAATCATATTATAATATACTATTATGATTTTAATTTATCTCTTTAATTTAAATCTTACCTACTTCTTTTCTATATACAGTGTCCAAAATAAGAATTTATAGATTCTTCACGTAGTTATAAATTGTTTTGGCTGACCCTGTTCAGAAGAATAATGAGAATTGTGGAAGCCCAGGAAGAAAATTGTAATATGTGGCCGGAAATGACCAGGCGCGCAACTAGACATTTGGTTAGAGGGGGGCTAGGGGGAAATATTTCGCGCGATGCGCGAAAAATTTTTTGGCCCCCCCCTAAACATTTGTTTGTTATACTTAAACAATAAAAAACCAACCGGATATTCAGTCATAAGTCAACACATCTGATATAAAATGAAACAAGAAATCTATTCTGGTCAGGGGCGGATACAGGGGGGGGGGCGGGGGACATTCGCCGCCCCTGAATTTGGAATTTTTTGTTCTTATTTCAGAATAGCTTCTCAATAGCATGCTTAATTCGGAAAGAAACTGCAAAACAGGAAAAATATCTGTCTTTATAAACTATAATTTTTTTAGTCTTTAGTCATTAATTTTCACTCTTTTTGAGTCTTTTAAGTCAAAAAAAATATCGCCTGCGCCGCGATTTTTGGTTCCTAATTATGAATTTTTTTGTTTCTGATTCTGGTATAAATCACAAAAATAATTAATTTTCAATACAAATTACATATAAATATATAAATTTTCATTAGTTATCCATAAATCAAATATGTACATTGTACTCAAAAACTGACAAGAAATGCCTTTTATTAAAAATTCATGATTTTACATGAAAAATATTTTTTTTTCAATATGACACATCACACAATATTTGCGGTGAACATGTAGGATTATAATTGAATAGTTGTACTACAGTATTAAAGCAATATCATAATAAGTGGCAGAACTGAGTGAAAATATCTAAAAAATACTTGATAAACCCCCTTTCCCTTTTCCAGGAAAAAACAGCATAATGAAAAAAAACAAAGATTAAGGCACATTGGAACCTTGTCAAACTGTTTTGATCTACGGCAGTAGTTAGGCTCGGAGACGAAGGGGGTCTGTATGTGTGTATATGGTGTATTAAGTGCTATATGGATTGAACTATAAGCTCAATAAACTAACGTACAATTATCTTTTTTATTTTACGATAAGAGCTCTTAAATTTCCTCAGGGTCTGGATTCATGAATCGCTAAATTGCAAAACAGGGTGGACTTCGTCATTTCTTGCCCCCCCCCCCCTACAGGGGGGGGCAAGACTTCTTATGGGAGGGGCATGCCCCCCCTTAATCAGGCTAGGGGGGGGGGGGCCCCCTGCCCCCCCCCTAGTTGCGCGCCTGGAAATGACTTATGCAGTACACTTTAACGTACACAATTTGTACATCTTTGTTATTTCGATTCAATTTTTGTTTTGACAAAGAATGCAATATATATTCGAATTTGTTGTTCTTTTGTACACAAATTTCGACACAAATGTTTAGATTTAGTATTTTCGGAAAATTATTTTCATAGCTCATATTTTTTCCAAATTCCAAACAATCGAAACACTACAGAGACATTCGGAAAAAAGAGCTGAACAGATTTTGTTCTAAAAAATGTTCGAAGTGAGAGAATTAAAATAGTTTTTTTCCGCTCTGCAAAACTCAAAAAGGAAAAAATTATCATAATTAAGTGTCATCTTTCAGATCATCCTTGATCTCTTAAACAGCTGCATGATATTAAATCTGGATCTTAGAATTTTTAATGTTGTCTATCTTTTTTTAGTTATTTGTATAACAACGGCGGAACACAAAATGTTCGGATATACATTATACACATTTTAATCAATCTTGAGTAAAACAAAAAATAGAAAGACTTCAATAACGAACTGGAAACAGGCTTATTGATATATCGTATTTGCTTTGAATGCCTGATCTTTTGCCCACCATCCTTAATTTAAATAAATTATTTTTGAAAGTTAAAAGAATTTTTGTAAAGGAATTTGGTAAATGCTCCAAATACGGATTTTCTAATCTCTTTTTATTTGCAACCCTGATTTTGTAAACCTTAGATATTTCAAACTATGAATTCTGTTAAATCAAATCTAATCTTAAAATACTAAACGATCAAGTTGCAAATCTGTAGGATCACAAAATTTGAGTTTTGTGGTAATGACTCAATTCTTATCCAATATCTAATCACGGAAGCACGTGAAGCTTATCTTAGACACAAGCTTTGACATTTCTTGGTCTAACATTCGGGAAAAAACGATTTTAAGTCGTCTTTCAATTCCACAAGACATTTGTTAGATTTATTTTTTTTTTCATTGCAGGCTAGAGTGTGGTTGTGAATCGGACACACCAATCTACAAATGAAAAGTCACTTGAAATTATGCCAACAGTCCCTTTAAAGGACAAAATAGATACGTTGGGTGTTTACTCTTGTCAATATTATTTGATTAATTTGTCTCCATCAACATATTTTTTTCCCCATCTGAACTGTTAAAGCTGTTTTTTCAATTTTGTGTTTTATTATCAAAACAACGAATATAATTACATTTTTATTTTTATCTTAGCTAATAAGAAATTACATGATCAAGTTTAATATAAATGAAGAGAGTGAGAGTAGAATAGTGCTCCCTAGGGGTGTATCAAGTGCCCCGCTGCAGGTACTAAACTTACCATTGCATAGATCAACGTCACAGAAAAACTCAGTCTGGAAAGAAAAATATGTTAATATTTTCATTTATTCGATTAGTTATTTTTGGATTGGTAAGTATTAAATGAATCCTTCCTATCTTATAAAAATTTCTGAATTTATTAACAATAAAATACATGTTAAAATGCCTGTTTATTAAAAACATCCAACGTTAACAATCTACAATAAAAATTTTCAGCTTTCTTTTAATGGCTTTTCAAAGCTGTAAACTTTTAAATCTGTAATTACAGCAAATTTTTTTTTAACAAATGTTTCAAGTTTTACTGTACTATTTTGATAAATATGAGTGTTCAAAGCTAGAAGGACGGATTATAATTATTATTAATATTTTAATTTTCGCACGTAAAAAACCCTTTAGTTTACAGAAAATAAAATTTGCTCGTCTTTTTATATTTTATAAAAAATATATTAGAAAGGTAATAGAACTTACGGTTCCATTAGATTCTTTGCATCCTGTAGGATGTGACGATTCACCACAAGTTCTCATCCATTGATCCTCTGTAAATTTACTGTTAGAAAGACATACATTGTACTAAGGTTATAATGCAAGGAAAGGTGTACATATCTCATGTATTAAAGAAGGTGTATAAAATTCAACCAATCATAAATATAAATAAAAATAAATAGAAAGACGATAAATTTGAAATTTTGCGGGCCATTTAAGATTATATAGGGAAACAGGAGGGACTCTTATAATTTAGAAAAACCGGTTTTTTTATTTTTCTCTACTATATAAGAAGAAAGTCAAAAGTGTGTCCATTGGATACTCAAGTATTTGGGATTAAGAATATCTCATTCTAAAGTTTTCAGCACAGATGAAATAAAAAATCTAAAATAAAACTATGTGGTTCTATACTTGGACTTCAGTGAATTTTTTTAAAAGATCTAAATATTTATTTGTCATGTTTAAAGGTAAAATTTTTCATTATCACAGAAAAAAAAATTAATTTTTAAATTTTAAATATTACATAGTTCTATTTATTCACAAAAATTTGTTTTGTCTAATTATTTGTCTAATTTTTATATTTTATTTTAATTTGAATAATTTGAATTTGCATGCAGCAGAATGCATTTAACAATGTTCTTATTTAAAATATAAGAGAAATAAATAAAAAATTACAAACAAATATAAATTTATCCTATAAAGAGATAGAAACTGTTTTGAATTTTGCATATTTTATACATGGAGTACCTGGTCTAATATTATTACACCAACTTGCCTATTTTGGGAACATAAAAAATGAGTTGCAATTTCGTTATTCTCTATAATAAATATTCTAAACTATAATAAATGTGACATTTAAATTAAAAAACCATAAAGTACTGGGCAAAAAAGAAATGAATAAACCATCACCATGGTGATATTATCAAACAAATTTCACGTTGTATTGTTCTTAATTTTAGAAAAGATTGTACATATGTAATGATTTTTATTAAATCTAGAAAAGATGGTAGAAACATAACTCAAAAATTGATTGTTCTTAAAAAATGTAACATACATCTAGTTGATAGATCTCAAACCAAGTAAGGATGGTACATAACTTAAGAAACTATTATTTTTGGACTTAAAATTGATGGTACATAACTTAAGAAATGATTGATCTTAAACCTAGAAAGGATGGTACATAACTTAAGAAATGATTGTTCTTTAACCTAGAAAAGAAGTTAAGGAAATCAAGAAATGATTGATCTTAAACCTAGAAAGAATGGCATATAAATACAGTATTGATTGTTCTTTAACCTAGAAAGGATGTCATAAAAAAAACAAGTAATAATTGATCTTAAACCTAGAAAGAAAAATACATTACATAACATATTTATCATTTCAGTTATTACGTTATCATCAAATCCTTCAACATATAAATTATGCATTCTTGTATTTAATAGTTAACATGATGGTTTATAAATCCAGAAATGATTGTTCTTTAACATAGAAAGGATAGCACATACATCAAGAAATGATAGATCTTAAACCTAGAAATGATGGTATATAACTTGAGAAGTTATTGTGCTTAAACCAAGAAAGAATGATACATAACTTAAGAAATTATAGTTCTTGTACCTAGAAAGTAGGGTACATAACTCAAGAAATGATTGATTTTAAACCTATAAACAATGTTATACAAATGAAGAAACTATTGTTCTTAAACCAAGAAAGGATGGTAAATATCTCAAGAAATGATTGATCTTAAACCAAGAAAGGAAAGTAAATATTTCAAGAAATGATTGATCTTAAACCAAGAAAGGATGGTAAATATCTCAAGAAATGATTGATTTTAAACCAAGAAAGGGTGGTAAATATATCAAGAAATGATTGATCTTAAACCAAGAAAAGATGGTAAATATATCAAGAAATGATTGATCTTAAACCTAGAAAGAATTGCACATAACTCAAGAAATGATTGATCTTAAAACAAGAAAGGATGGTAAATATCTCAAGAAATTATCGATTTTAAACCTTTAAACAATGTTATACAAATGAAGAAATTATTGATCTTAAACCAAGAAAGGATGGTAAATATATCAAGAAATGATTGATCTTAAACCTAGTCAGAATTGCACATAACTCAAGAAATGATTGATCTTAAACCAAGAAAGGATGGTAAATATCTCAAGAAATGATTGATCTTAAACCAAGAAAGGATGGTAAATATATCAAGAAATGATTGATCTTAAACCTAGAAAGAATGGTACATAAATAAAGAAAAATACATTACATAACATATTTATCATTTCAGTTATTACGTTATCATTGAATCCTTCAACATATAAATTATGCATTCTTGTATTCAATAGTTTTTGTAAAATCGGAACTTTCCATGCATAGTCTGATGAGACAACAAAATATTTCATTTGTTTCTTAACTAACATTTCATTAAGATAAGATAGATTTACAAAACAATCATTTGCAAATTGCAATGGAAAAAAATTCTGCCTAGAACTGTGTTCAGGTCATTTTTGCATAATTTGGAAAGAAATCCAATGCAAAGCTTAAAACTTGCTTCAATAGTCTCATAGAAAGATATACACATCTACTGGCTAACATAAGTTTTAAATGTAAACATTGTTATGCGTAACTACTAGTTTTCTGACTCCATTTTGTAAATTGAAGGTTTTTGAGCACTTTCCATTGACACCAGATCAAATGCCTTACTCAGATCCAATTCACAAGCATAAACTGCTCTACAAGATCTGTTGATCCTCTAGCTGCGCATTATTGTACTGGCAAACTTTTGAAAACCAAACTCAAGTTTATCTGAGGTCAGCTTATCCGAGTTCAGAATTAATATCAACCAGTCAAACCATTTTAGAATCAAGATTCCTAAAGCAATTGTTTTGTAATTGTCACTGGTAGCAATGTCATCTAAGTTGTCCTTCACTATTGGCACTAATGTGCATGCACAGTAGTAAAAAAGCAGAAATTTTGCCTGTAGCCAAAAAAGATTTTAAGCTGGTGGTCACATGATCTATAAACTTATTACATGCCTTTATTCAGCAATCTGAGCTAAAGTCAAATACTGCATCACTTGCCATTGCTTTCATTTTATTTAGAGCATTTTTGACTGACTGGTGATTCACTTTATCTTTTAAATTTCTTCTTGAAACTTCTTGAAACCTAAACTTAGAATTCAAGTGGATCAAATATGACTTTGCTCTCTGGATATTTCATGTTCTGTTATGTCATTGAAGAACGTTTCCGAAAGACCTAGAATAAGCCTGTTTTAAGTTCTCTAGCAGACTTATAATAAGCCTGTTGTCAGTTCTCTGATAGACCTAGAGTAAGCCTGTTGTCAGTTCTCTGATAGACCTAGAGTAAGCCTGATGTCAGTTCTCTGATAGACCTAGAGTAAGCCTGTTGTCAGTTCTCTGAAAGACATGGAGTAAGCCTGTTGTCAGTTCTCTTATAAACCTGGAGTAAGCCTGTTGTCAGTTCTCTAATAGATCCAGAGTAAGCCTGTTGTCAGTTCTCTGTTAGACCTAGAGTAAGCCTGTTGTCAGTTCTCTGATAGACCTGGATTAAACTTGTTGTTTCTTTTCATATAGACCTAGAGTAAGCATGTTGTCACTTCTCTGATGAACCTTTAATAAGCAAGCATACACTATTCTGAAATAGACTTAATCTTCAATCTTTTAAACCTGGAGTAAACATATTCTTGAATCTTAAAAAGCTGGATTAAACCTATTCTTAATCTCATAAACCTGGAGTAAACATACTTTTGAATCTTATAAACCTGGAGTAAACATATTCCTGAATCTTAAAAAGCTGGATTAAACCTATTCTTAATCTTATAAACCTGGAGTAAACATATTCTTGAATCTTATAAACCTGAAGTAAAGATGTTCAAGAATCTCATAAACCTGGACTAGACATACTCTTGGATCGTATTAGCCTGTAGAAAACGTTTATTTGAATCCTGTAACCTGAAGGAAACATTTTTGTGAATCTTAAACCTTAAAGGGACAGTAAAGGAAAAATGAAAGGGGGTATAGGCTGAAAGCTAATCACTTTAGCTTTTCATCGAGACCCTTGAGACGCCTATCTGAAGTTCCTAACTCGAGAGTTGATATAAAGCTGTTTCAAACTTGTACGAAAATGCATATATATACAATTTTGTATAGAAATAGTAGGTTTAAACAGACCATGCTCAGAAAAACAGCAACCAATCTGAAAAAGATGATATCCCAGAGAAAGCTAATTGTAATTTAGGTTTACTTTTATATTTGTTGTTTCTATTTTCAATAGATTTCATTCATAATATTATTTTTACGTCCGTATTACTTGACCAGAAATTCCACCAATGGCAGTGCAGTAAAGTGGTCACGTGATACAGGCGGAGACACGTGACCAATATACTGTTCTGCCATTGGTGATAGTTCTGGTCACGTGATTTAAGTTTCAGATTTTCAAAATTTTACATATATGAATTTTGGTATAATTATAACACAGTTTTATATCAATTTCTCGAGACAGGAACATCAGATAAAACTTTCATGGGTCACGATCAAGAGCTAAAGTGATTAGCTTTCAGCCTATACCCCCTTTCATTTTTCCTTTACTGTCCCTTTAAGTGATTATTTTCTGAAGTCTCATAGACTTGAAGTAAGTATATTCTCAAATTTCATTTAATTTAAAAATAAAAAATTTCCTTTTATCTCATAAACTTGGGGTAAAGTTATTTTTGAATCTCAGAAAACTGAAAGAAACACTGTATCACCCTGTAATCCATTATGAACTCTTTCTTGCTGCACTTTATCAAAATCTTCTCCTAGAGTTCACTGCAAAATAAACAGTTCTCCCTCTCTTGGCCTCCCCACAGCTTGCCAACCCCAAAACCAGAACTTAGTTTCAGTCTGATATGGTTTTACATATTCATTCCTACCAGAGATCCCTTTTGAGATTTGCTACTCCTCCTGTTCTTGGTAGACACATCTTTGCGGTATTATCTACAGCTTCATATATTCCTGTAGCATATTCATCAATACTAACATCATGGTTCTGAACTTCTGACAATTAAGAGATTGCAAAGATTACATTTCTGTGGTGCGTCCAGGATATTAAGTCTTGTTTATAGTTTATCTAAATCATGCACTTGCTGCTCTAGAGACGGTTTACTCCAACTAAGTGTTGTGTATTGGTTACTTGCTCTATACTTCCAAATTAAGCTGATCCATATCAAACTTGCAGAATATAGGAAGATGACCAGACATATAATCTGAATGAATAATCACACCAGCCATAGTTACTAATTTATAGAATCCTTAATTACTGAGAAAATGATCAATTGTGAGTAAAAAATTGGCGCTAAAGTTTGCAGAATAAGCAAGAAAATTTGCAAATTTTTGCGCCAAAGTTTGCTTCCGCTGGAGTCCCTACTGACAACCCAACAATGAAAATTAAAGTATATGTTAATGGTGAAACTTACTGTTGTTTGTCGAATGTTTTATCATACACACTCCAGTTTCTAAAAATATAAAAACTTGTTCAATATTTTACTTTATTTCTTGAGATTTTTTTTTCGGGGGGGGGGAGGAGGAATACCATCTGATTGAAAATAGTATGAAGCAAATTTAAATTTTGATGTAATTGTTTAACCCTGTACTGATTGGGCTATTTATGTCTAATATAGGTATCCCCCGCCACCCTCAAATTTGATGCCCCTTTAATGGTTTTACTGTCCTCCATTCAACCCCTTATGCTTTGAAAAAAAAACTTAGTAAAATTTGTTTACAAATATTAAGGTGAAAACATTAAGAAGTTTGAACGTTAAATTGTAAGTTGTATTAAGTTAAATTGTAAGTTGTATTAAGTTAAATTGTAAGTTGTATTAAGTTAAATTGTAAGTTGTATTAAGTTAAATCGTAAGTTGTATTAAGTTAAATTGTAAGTTGTATTAAGTTAAATTATAAGTTGTATTAAGTTAAATTGTAAGTTGTATTAAGTTAAAAAGAAAAAAAAAACACAGGAGGTGGAATCCCCCTTCCCTCACAATTTTGATACAGTCAGGCTATCAATTCACATTTTTGATAGAAAATTAGCTGTAGCTATTTAAATTAATTTTATTTTTTTTTCTTGTTTTGAATCACTGCATGAATTTTCAAAAGTTCTTTCAGTCCGAAAGATACATCTTTAAGCACTTAATCTCAATTTCCTCAATAGATCTGTTTTCCCCTAAGAAATTTAAATAAAAACTTCAGTTGTTTTAAAGGTAAAAAGGTACAATATGGCTCTTATAATGAATGAAATTCAATAAGTGTTATAAATACATTTTTTTATTTATTAAAAACATGTTTAACCTTCACACGTTTTCTTCTCTCCAATATTGTCTGAATCACATACACCTTCCACTGTGAAACAAAACTCAGTCGTTATATGAATAAAGATATTGATTTTACTTTTAAAAACAAGAGAGGTGTTGATTCAAAGTTGTAAAACTATTTTTAAGAAATCAATTTACAAATCAATTTTGTTGACTGAGTCTTAAGTGTCCCTCCGGAATTAGGTCCACACGTGTAGCACTACATGAAAAAATAAAATTCAGTTTAACCTAGTCTGTATTTATCAAATATTTCTTACAATACAAATTAAAAATAATGAGAAATAGTTAAAACATTTTTGCTTCATAATTTTTAAGAGAGTAAAACTACCAAAATAATTGGTCTAAAGTAAGGGACTATTAATGTAATTACATACGAGATTTTAAAATTAGCGAATTGAATCTTTTAAATGTTTTGTAATCCATGAAGCTGAGAAAATGAAACTATCTTAACAAACCTGTATTGGGGTTGAGATGGTGCACAAGCATGCCAGAATTGCCAGCAGTATAACAAACTTCATCCTTCAAACTATCTAAACTTTATATTTCAAGATTAATAAACTTAATTTAATCTGAACAACGTATCTCAAGCTTGTGAAGATTCTGGAAAAATTAGATGACTTTGAAATTAGGAGTTTACTGTCATTTCTCTTTTAGAGGATATCGACTTTTTTTTCTAAAACATAAATTTTAACTTAAGAATAATATAAATATGAAAATTAACAAGGTAAATATAAACTTTTACTTAGTATGATATAAATATGAACCTTAACAAGCTGAATCACATTTATTGAATTCAAAAATTGTTTTTTATAACGTGACATTTTTTTCTCAGATTTAGTTAGAGTTCCAAAAAAAGGCGGAGCTCTTACAGATTATAGAATGGTTTTTAGAAGGAAAGTGTCTAAAAATAAGTGAAATATTTTGAGAAAAATGTAATTAATATTTTTATAAGCGTAATGCAGTTTCCTCAGTTTCAGGATGATATTAGTATTTTCCTAGGCATATTGTAAGATTATATATATATATATATATATATATATATATATATATATATATGTATATTGGAGCTAATTAAATTCACAATTTGCAAGTGATTTAATTTGCAATTCCATCAAAGCTTCATAATTTAGAATTCAAAATTGTTACGAAGTGAGAAAGAAAACGAAAATATACAACTTGGTAGGAAAACTTTAAAACAATAAGCATTATTTTTTTATACAAAATTTACAGAACTCAGAAATAAGAAAGGAAATTAATTTTATAAAAAAACTACAATTAAACTTAACAATATTGATTTGTGGTTAGATGTTGATTTACAACTGTCGAACCAAATATACAGAACTCCCTCTACATTTTATGTTTCCCACAAAAGATAAAAATTAAATAGGATAAGCTTTATTGAGTTTTTGTAAAATTTCATGATCTCAAATCAAGGGTTTCAAAAATGTAGATTTGTCAGCATTTTTTTCATAAAAAATAGAAGAATGGTTAAATTTGTGTTATCGATTTTCAAATAATGGCTTTTGCTATTAACTGTTGCTCTACAGATGCCATTCGTTATCGTTCCCAATATTCGTTAGATTCAATTATGGCAGGACTCTGCTGTGGGGTTCCTAGTGTTCAAGCATGGCCTATACTCAGGTACCGATAAGAGCGACAACATTCAAGATTGGCAAAAGATTGGATGACGTTTAAAAAAAAACTATTACAATGCATCTACTACTTTTGATGAATAATTTTTTTTATCTTCATTACCACATCTTCTCTACTTTATGTACCAGGATATACTAGGATAGTTTCCGGTATACCAGGATATACAAGGATAGTTTCAGGTATACCAGGATATACAAGGATAGTTTCAGGTATACCAGGATATACTAGGATAGTTTCAGGTATACCAGGATATACAAGGATAGTTTCAGGTATACCAGGATATACAAGGAAAGATTCAGGTATACCAGGATATACAAGGATAGTTTCAGGTATCCCAGGATATGCAAGGATAGTTTCAGGTATACCAGGATATGAAAGGATAGTTTCAGGTATACCAGGAGATACTAGGATAGTTTCAGGTATACCAGGATATACAAGGATAGTTTCAGGTATACCAGGATATACAATGATAATTTCAGGTATACCAGGATATACTAAGATAGTTTCAGGTACACCAGGGTATGCTAGGATTGTTTCAGGTATACCAAGATATACGTGGATAGTTTCAGGTATACCAGGATATTCAAGGATAGTTTCAGGTATACCAGGATATACAAGGATAGTTTCAGGTATACCAGGATATACTTCAGGTATACCAGGATATACTAGGATAGTTTCAGGTATACCAGGATATACAAGGATAGTTTCAGGTATACCAGGATATACAAGGATAGTTTCAGGTATACCAGGATATACTAAGATAGATTCAGGTATACCAGGATATACAAGGATTGTGTTAGGTATATCAGGATATACAAGGATAGTTTCAGGTATACCAGGATATAAAAGGATAGTTTCAGGTATACCAGGAGATACTAGGATAGTTTCATGCATACCAGGATATACAAGGATAGTTTCAGGTACACCAGGATATACAAGGATAGTTTCAGGTATACCAGGAACTACAAGGATAGTTTCAGGTATACCAGTTTATACAAGGATAGTTTCAGGTATACCAGGATATACAAGGATAGTTTCAGGTATACCAGGATACACTAAGAAAGTTTCAGGTACACCAGGATATACTAGGATAGTTTCAGGTATACCAGGAGATACTAGGAAAGTTTCAGGTATACCAGGAGATACTAGGATGAGTTCATTTATACCAGGATATACTAGGACAGATTCAGGTATACCAGGAGATACCAAGATATGTTCAGGTATACCAGGAGATACTAGGATAGTTTCAGGCATACCAAGAGATACTGGGAACGATTCATTTATACCAAGAGAAACTAGGATAGGCTCAGGTATACCAGAATATATGGGATGGTTCTGACATACCAGGAGATACTAGAATTGTAGACCTTTTCCAAGAAATGTTGTACCAGCCGAGTTCAAACAAACACTTTCGCCAACTCTACCTCTATACTCTGACAAAGGAAAATCAAAACGGTGAAACGTTTTCCATGTGAAAGATCGAATCCACAAAAAACTTTGCAATCCATAATAAATTCCACTTAAGCAATCAGGTATATGTTTTTCAGAAGTATTATAAATGTATTGAACTACACTACCAAACCCTTAACCACTCCTTTTCACTCCGACATGAAGTAATAGTAAGCTATTTTATCAAACATTTGGCTACATTAGAATATCATCATCCATGTTTAATAAAAAAACTAGTATAAGATATTTTATCTAACATTTTAACCATATTGAATCATTTTGTATTCATGTTTAACACTTATTATTTATTATAGGTTTGAAATATATCTACATAATGATTATTGGAGACTACTGTGTTTGAGTTGAGGAGCCTAACCAATGAACCAACCTAACCAACAAACCAACCTAACCAACGAACCAATTAGCCAATTATCAACCAGACTATCCGTCTATTAACCACTGATGCCTGTCTATTGTTTTACATTTCAAACTAACAACCAAGACAAGATGGACGTCGTTCAACCTCTCCATCAGAACTCCATCCATGGAGATAACATCCCTGAGGCCCCTCATCAGGAATCCTGAATCAGGAATCAACCTTCCTCAACCTCCTGCTAACCATCCCATCTTTCTTCCTCACCAATGCGTTCTAAAATGCAATTCAAAAGAACAACGTTTGTCAACTAACAGCCTTAGCCAAACACTACACTCACCACCTGGAAACCAATATAGAATTTTGCCTGTACGACCTCTCTGACCTCGAAACCACCAACATGACTGCCATGAACATCCTGGACTCTCACACCACCATGTACACCCCTTTGCCCTCCTCCCCACCCAATGAACAAGTCCAAAAAAACTCTGCCAGCTTCACGCCCCCAGGATCTCCACAGAAAACTGGACAACTATGGCAAGGTAAACCTCACCCTCCATGCCAGCCCGCTGGACAAGAGGGGCCCCCTCAACCACAGGCCGCACTATACACAAGGGAATGTTACTGATGCTCCTGAGAGCCCAAACATAATCAATGCAAGCTTCATGTCTAGGGCGCTGATGAAACATTAGCCAGAATTGTGAGGAGAGCAAAGATTTAATATTTAGGGGTCTAAATGTCTTGTTTCTAACCCGATTTTGACTTTTCGAAGGTCTAAATATATGTTTTAAGCAACCAGAAAAGGACTGGAACAATATTTAAAGCATTTGTGAAGATCGTTTAAAAAATACCTATGACGGCGTCTAACAGTTTAAGCAAAAAAATATAAAAATTGACTCAAAATCTCAGGATGTACGGCGAGGATTTTGAAACTTGCAGAATTTTATATCTGGATGTATATGAACCAAAAATATTTAGTAACAATTAGGCTGGAACTTTTTTTTTTTAATCATAGTGTCTAGTGTATAATCTACATTACCATTTCATGTGTACTATACACTAGCCCCCATTGTGTAATCTGAACTAGTCTCATTGTGTGTACTCTACACTTTCCTCTAGTGTGTATTCTACACTAGCCCCTCATGTGTACTATACAGTAGCCTCTAGTGTGTACTCTACACTAGCCCCTCATGTGTACTATAAACTAGCCTCTAGTGTGTACTCTACACTAGCCCCTCATGTGTACTATACACTAGCCTCTTGTGTGTACTCTACACTAGCCCCTCATGTGTACTCTAAACTAGCCTCTAGTGTGTACTCTACACTAGCCCCTCATGTGTACTCTACACTAGCCTCTAGTGTGTACTCTACACTAGCCCCTCATGTGTACTATACACTAGCCTCTAGTGTGTACTCTACACTAGCCCCCAGTGTGTACTATACACTAGCCTCTAGTGTGTACTCTACACTAGCCCCTAGTGTGTACTCTACACTAGCCTCTAGTGTGTACTCTACACTAGCCCCTCATCTGTACTATACACTAGCCTCTAGTGTGTACTCTACACTAGCCCCCAGTATGTACTCTACACTAGCCCCTAGTGTGTACTCTACACTAGCCTTTAGTGTGTACTCTACACTAGCCCCTCATGTGTACTATACACTAGCCTCTAGTGTGTACTCTACACTAGCCCCTCATGTGTACTATACACTAGCCTCTAGTGTGTACTCTACAATAACCCCCAGTGTGTACTCTACACTAGCCCCTAGTGTTTACTCTACACTAGACTCTAGTATGTATTCTACACTAGCCCCTCATGTGTACTATACACTAGCCTCTACTGTGCTCTCTACACTAGCCTCTACTGCCTTCTTTATACACTAGCCTCTACTGTGTTCTCTACACTAGCCTCTAATGTGTTCTTTATACACTAGCCTCTACTGTGTTCTTGTTCTCTACACTAGCCTCTAGTGTTAGAGTGCACTCTACACTAGCCTCTACTGTGTTCTCTACACTAGCCTCTAGTGTTAGTGTGCACTCTAAGTCTACACTAGCCTCTACTGTGTTCTCTACACTAGCCTCTACTGTGTTCTCTACACAAGCCTCCACTGTGTTCTCTACACTAGCCTCTAGTGTGTACACTACACTAGCCAATACTGTGCTTTCTACACTAGCCTCTAGTGTTAGTGTGCACTCTTTACTAGCCTCTGCTGTGTTCTCTACACTAGCCTCTAATGTTTTCTCTACACTAGCCTCTACTGTGTTCTCTACACTAGCCTATAGTGTTAGAATGCACTCTACACTAGCCTCTCCTGTGTTCTCTACACTAGCCTCTACTGTGTTCTTTATACACTAGCCTCTAGTGTTTACTCTACACTAACCTCTTCTGTGTTCTCTACACTAGCCTCTACTGTGTTCTCTACACTAGCCTCTACTGTGTACTCTGCACTAGCCTCTACTGTGTTCTCTACACTAGCCTCTACTGTGTACTCTACACTAGCCTCTACTGTGTTCTCTACACTAGCCTCTAGTGTTTACTCTACACTAGCCTCTACTGTGTTCTCTACACTAGCCTCTAGTGTTAGTGTGCACTCTACACTAGCCTATAAAAATCATGTAAAATCATTATGAAAAATGCTGTAAATATGGTTTACAACTCTCATGGACCATGGTGTAAACTCTATAGTATCACAACAAACTTACACTGCTCATAAAATGTGAACAAGGAATTTCTATTTTCTCGTTAAGAATTTCAGTCTTTCAGTATTTTATTATTACATAGTTGAAAAAATATTTTCTAAGCTAACATTTTAACCAGAAAATACAAACTTTAATATTATGTTATTCAATGTAAAGGGAAAACACAATTTCACAAAAAATTGTAAAGCAAAGAACGTTTTTAATTTAAACATCTTCACTACTTTGCTTACTGGATATAGCAAAAATTCATTGAGTCGAGTGTGGAGAGTCCAAAAAAGTTGATCTAAGTTAGGAAAATATTAGTAAATTATTAAATATAGTCATGCCAGGTTCAAATGCAGACACATAAATTATTTAAGGTTAATCTTTGTATTATGAGTGAGCTAACATAAAAAAACGGCAATTAAACAAGAACCAGTTTAACAAAAAGTGAAATATTTGTTTTCTCGAATTCTTTCAACTTTTCTTTTTAAAGTTTAGAAAGTCATGTCAGCGGATAATTAGAGATCTTGGATTGAGAAAATTGTGAAAATCATATATCTTCAATCCATCCCTTTTTTACATAAAATGGACTGTATCTCAAGGGATTCTCTATGAATTGAGCGGCGTGGCGGATTCACAACGGTACCTTTAAAAGCTTAGTCTGATCAAATATGAATTAGATATCCATATCTTTTGTTTTTTTAAACATATTATTTTCACTGTATCCATATTATTAATCAGACAAAGGGTACCATTGAGAATCGAACACGCCCCCCTTTAGATGGAAGGTCACTTGAAATTAGGATAATACAGTCCAATTAATTGATTGATCATGTAAACATTTTAAACTATATTTGAATAATCTCCTTTAAGATTATTCCAGTTTATGTAAGGTTATCCTTACTCATTATCAAGAAAATATTTCTGCAAATTCCACCTTTGTATTTTCATCTATATATAAATTTGGCTTGGGTGTCTTTTTGTCTGTTTGTTTGTATCCAATAAACGTCAAAACGGCTGAACCATCGGGCCCACTTGTGACACTTGTGGGACCTCACGTGACCCCAGGGAAGGTTTATGAATGATCAAAATTTAAAAAATTTGTTTTTAAAAGTTTTTTATTTTTGAAAAATTTTGAAAATGCGCAAAAAAATATTATGAAATCCGCAAACTTTTTTTGTTTTTGTTTTATACTGTACAAAGAGAAGATCTTCAGAGATAAAGCCACAATTAAAAGTTGAAATAGAAGATGGGCGCGAAACGCCCTAAAACCCTAGTTTCTTATAATTCTTTATCTTCTGTAACATAATTCAAATCTCTCAGAAACTGTTTGTGATAAATTTAGAGTTTCATGCAGCATTGTTAGGGATTTACCGAGAAAACAAAAAAGAATTGAAACTGAATAGATGTTTTTTTTTAAATTAATCCATTCTTCTTTTTATTATTAAAAACGAGTTTTTCTCTTTAAATTAAAAAATATTTCCATAACATATAGATACGAACCCCGCTTCTTCGCATGCTGCATGTTTACTGCTTTAAAATTCCTGCCATGGCGTCAAACCTTATAGAAATCCAACGTATGGACCCGCTACGTATAGCAACATGGCGTATTTTCCGGGAGAACATTTTTATATTTTTGAAAAATTAAAGTATAAGTGGAAAGTAAATATAATTTTCATAAAATTCTTTTATTTAAATGGTAAAACGGAATTTTATGAAAGCATATTAGCATTACTGGAGAACTTTTTTTATACTTTTAAGAATTTTTTCCAAACCTAAAATGTACATATTAAACTATTTCGCTCCTTTAATGTCTAGGGTATTATGATAAATTATGATAAATAGAAATTATGATAATGTTGAGCTACAATGTTTTACAAAAACGTTTAATTTTTCAAAAATATAAATAAATGTTCTCCCGGAAAATACGCCATGTTGCTATACGTAGCGGGTCCATACGTTGGATTATAAAAGGTTTGACGCCCGAAATGGCGAAATTTTATGAAACATAAAAAGTCTCATCTAAACCAAGCTCAAGAACTAAGTAAGATGTAAAATATATCGAAAGATATTATCAAAACTGAGTAAGATCAAATTTTTCTAAGCATTCTTAACTCTCTTTAGGGCAGGGAGTAGTAAAGATATCAAATACGAAACAGATATTAATTTTTTAAATACAAATGTTAAATTCGATTCACAGTCCAAACAGTTTTTCAACAATTCTAAATTAGAATCCAACATCAAACAACAAATCCCAATTTTCTAATACCTATATATCTACAAACAAATTATGTAAACATTTGGTATTTCAAACTTTGATTGTTTTATATAACAGAAGAAGGATTGTTAATCGTTTTTGAAAACTATTATTAAACGATCGTTTTTTTTCGTTTTCCTATCGTTTTTTGTTTTGTTTTCCGATCATTTTAAAAACAATCGTTTTAAAAACTTTTTAAAAAAACGATAATTTTTAAAACGATCTGAAAACGAAACAAAAAATGATAGGAAAACGAAAAAAAAGATCATTTTTCAAAAAAAATGAAAACGTTAACATCCCTAAACAGAAGTCATAGTTTGAAATATCTAAGGTCTACAACATTTGGTTGTTAAGGTATAGGGATTTGAAAATCTGAGTTTGTGGCAAAGACTCAATTCCTTTACGCTAAAGATGTAAGATATCCATAGAAATACTAGAAATCATGGTGTTCAATTTTTTCTTTTTATTTCGGGGCTAAGCTTAAGAGATGATTCATAAGCAAGCCTTCAAAGAGAAAATGATAAAATAAACTAAAAAAAGATTTCCAATTAAATTAAATTAATATATTTAGCAAGTTGTTGAAACAGTTTTTTGAAATGACGGTTTTAAAAAAATCTGCTGCAATTTTTTCTTTAATTTTTAAAATTAAAATACTAATAAAAATATGTGAATTAAGAAACAGGTTAAAATTCTAATTAATTTTAATTGTACAAAAGGTTAATAAAAAACTACTGTTTTTGAACTTTAAAAATTTGGTCTAGCTTATAAATCACAGCCTACATATACATATTTTTTTGAAGAATTGTTCTTTGGAATTCAACTCTGTCAAGTTTGCCAGTTCGATATTATTTTTTATTTCATTGGTTAGCGGCCCACATTCTTCAAATATGGCTCTTATGCGGCTGCTCAGTATGTTTACAGAGAAATCCCAAATCGTACTGCGTGAGAAAAAAAAAACTTGGTTTACTGTGTTATGTTTTAGAAAATGACAAAGATGATGGAAAGCTAGATGTTTTCTGTTTACAATTAATCATTTGAATCTCTGGAAAATTTATCCATATTTCAGTAAGTTTTGATGGTATAAGACAGGTAAAAATCATATTGGAAATCTCAGAATTAAATAAATATTGTCATAATATGGTTTGATAATGTTATTGCAAGTATATACTTACTAATAAATGTTACATAGATTTTAAAGTAGTCTACTAATTACAGTGTTTTTCTTTTTACTTCTATTCTTTATAACATATGATATAAACTATATCTCTGTATCTTATTCTTACAAAAAGATACAAGAAACTTCCTAGAGAAAAAAGATGCTCATTGTTTTATTTATCTACAGGGTGTCCCACATCAAATTAGACCGCGTCAATGGGTCTAAATTACGATTTAGGGGACTAATCAGAAAATTTAAGAAGAATCAATCATTTTGAAAAATTTAATAAGGCTAATAGAAATTTTTTCTTGCAGAAAATGCTAGATTTTTCGAGTATTATATGTGTATTTTGGCGTTAAAGATTGGAGAAAGTCTAATATGATATGGGACTCTCTGTACATTGATCTCCACAGTTGGAAGTACAATGCGTGCAAAGTCACAAAAGATCAAATGTGTACAGGATTTTAAAAATTAGAAGTTATAATTTAATGGCGCATGTAAAATAAAAACCAAAATATTACTTTTTTTCTCTGTTATTTTTTTCTTTCTTTTTCTGCGGAACGTATGCCTATTCGAAAATGAGAAACCTTTTCCTGAAAGAAAGAAGAATGTTCTCTCTCTGAAATAATCTTTACTTTATTGATCTGTCAGTCAAATAGTATATCTATCTATCCCTGGAAAATTTCCTTGAATGGTTCGGATGCCAGGAAACAAACTAATATCTTTTCTCAGGGGCGTACGAGAGCAAACTCCTCTTTTGAAAAAATATTGATACCTTTTTTAACTATG